CAGCGACTTGCCCTTCGATGGTCTCCACATTGATCGAATCCAGCAGTATTCCAGCAGCCTGCTGTTCTTCTTCTGCAGACTTTCGATCTTTTCTACTTCGTCGTCCGACAATTGCCCGTACCTGTAGGGTTTTCCAGTTGTCCGGTTTGATCTCCGTAGAGTCTTTCATCAGTTCTACGTACCCATACTTCGATAAATGGGCCATCATCTTGACCTTGTAGAACCTGAACTTCTCATCTTTCCCATCGAAGATGGGATACTTGCTCGACGATGATACCTCTACCTCCGTAGACATCTTTACTTACTTCTCAATTCTTCTCCTTTCTGTTTGACAACCTGGATCCAAGCTCACTCTTTCCTGATAGCTATCGTTTTAAAACGTGTTGAAAAGGTGTGAACTTGAACGCACAATTTCTCTAATTTAATCAATATCCTTCCAGCTCTACTGTCTAGTAGACTGGCTATTCGTTTCGTTTTCTCTTTCTCTCTCGTTCAGATTGTGAGCTCTACAACTGAGCTCCGATATGCATACATATGTTGGAAAAGTAACATGCTCGGGAGTCGAACCCTCAGACCATGTCAGCTACCAAGTGTGAATTTTACCCTTCTAACACCCTCCCAGAATTCTCAGCTTGTGCAGCGGCTGTTATCCTATGCACTCATACCATGGAGCTACACTTCACTAGTGGACCCTCCCATGTTCTCTTATCTGTCTCATCAGAGCTGGACCACACTCTGCCTGTTGACCACTCATCACACTCCTCAGCAGCAGCTGCACATGACGTCTCCAGGGTCATCCGGATTATGTTACCATTTTGGAAAAGTAACATGCTCGGGAGTCGAACCCTCAGACCATGTCAGCTACCAAGTGTGAATTTTACCCTTCTAACATACATATACCAGGATCTTTCGATCCTCTGCTTCTCGCAGTTTCATCTACAGATAGATCTCGTCGATCTATCTTCCTGAAGTGCATGGTTGGCCCTGGAGGGCTTTCCCACTTTACTAAACCTATGGACCTTCATCCGTCCATTCATTTGCTCCATCCCGTCGCTCCTTGCATTCATCTCTTCGACCTAACTTCCTAACCTTTGTAGTTGCATCATCTAGACGACCATTGTCCTCGTTCCTCGTACACCTGGCCATCTGATGATGATCGGATAACCATCTGATTTGAGTCACACATCCCCAATCACGAACCGTGATTGTGGATCCCGAGTCGTCTGTCCGTCATACGAAAATACCTTTCTGACATTCGTCTGTCGTCGTAACGTTTTTAGGGTTACAGGTACCACGAGTCTGAGCCTTCAGAGCTGCCTTTGTAAGGCACCACACGGTACTTGTACTGTACCAGGTACTGGTAGGCAGCCACCGTACTAGCTAGCTACTAGTATGATACCAGTATGATAGCTTCCAGGTTCCTGGTACTAGCATTTCTTCCAGCTATGTCACACAAGTCAAGTTCCATTTCACCGTTTTTTACGGTTCCAGGTCCCGATACTGGTAGCTCTAGCTAGCTTGGTAGGGTACGGTTCCGGGTCCAGGTATGGTACTGTAGTTTAGCAGAGCCATGGTACTTTGACTGGAACTGGGTATTATGATGGAAGTTGGAGAAGATCTGAGAGAGTTTAATGTGGTGAGGTATGGTTCCGGGTCCGGGTACTAGTAGCTTTAGCGTTCGGGGTCTTGGTAATAGTAGCTTTAGCTTGGTACAGTATGGTTCCAGGTCCGGATACTAGTAGCTCTAGCTTGGTAGGGTACGGTTCCGGGTCCAGGTACGGTAGCTTAGAAGAGCCATGGTACTGTAATTGGAACTGGGTATTATGACGGAAGTTGGAGAAGATCTGAGAGGACGGCTAGCTAGGGCTGTCACTAGCTGGGAACTGGGGAGGAGCTAGTTTTGGGAGAACTGCTTGCTAGGGCTATGGTATCATTGGCTGGGAAGGAGCTGGGAGAACTGCCACGGAGCCACATCACTAGCTGGGAGAGTTGCTTAGTAGCTACTAGCTAATCTTAACTGGCTGAAGTCAGGAAAGCTCTAGCTGGAAGCAGTGCTGCTTGCTAGTAGTAAAGCAAGCCCCCATGCCAGTTGGCCAAGCAACTGACAGCCCTCATTTCAATTTCCGTGGTTGGCACAACCGGAGGCCTCTTGTATCTTCCGAAGCTCAATCGGGTCTCAAATATTATTGCAATTATTGTTTTCATAAAAAATGGCGGGACCGCACCGGTACCGGTACATGGGGGACTGTGACTCGGACCAATTAACGAAAACGCATACCCCGCGAGGGGTTCTTTTCGGAAACCGACACAACACCAAAACACAAAACAAATCCCGTTCGCCGTCCAACATCTTTGTTGGGTGACTCGAGCAGAGTTTCCTGGCGCCTGGATCGCGGCGATTGTGCTTTGACAACTTGCATGTACGAGTATAAAGTCGGTTTTGGTCCATCGCTTTGAGACATCAGCGATACTATAGCAAAAACAGTACAATATCGGAAACCTTCTGTCTCACTCTCTATTTGCTGAGTTAACGGGACTCAATAATGGACCAAAATATTTAACTATCTCACAAAAAGTATAACGAAAATGAAGTATACGTTTAAAATAGGGTATGTGATGTTAAATCATGTGGTCAGTATGGGTAACATGCTATGAGTCAATGGTACTTGAGGTCGATTTCGTATTAATCTACTTATGGGTCAAGCGGACATTGAGACAGTCATTTGCTTATAGACAGTTTTGGTCCATTTTTGGGCTGTAGCGCTGGTACACTTTCTACGTGTCTCACCCACTTCCTTTATTAAACCTGTACTGAGTAGCTGCTTTGCGCCTTGCTGTCTGGGGAGAGCCAGCGTTGGCTTTTCTGGCTGTCCTATTGTATCCCGCTTCGAGAAACAGCTTCTATCTGGCTGCTGCTACTTGAGACAGATTGATACGACAAGTTCATACCGGTACAGGAACAAGCAATCCACTAGAAGAAGCAGCACTGTATGTTCGAGCGAGGAGGAAATCGTTCGAAACGGGAGCATTTGAACCGACTGGTGATGGTCCGAGGATCGCCCGATTGCCGTTTTGTGGGCCATTAGCAACGGTACAGTACGTGATAGGCCAATCATTTGGGCTTCCATGAGGCTGAAGTGAATGTAGCACTTTTAAATTGTGTCTCAGTATGGTAGAGGACGTGTACATTGTAATTCCATTCCTTCTTGCCACGAGTATGGAGGAAGACGGGGGTTGGTGCGGTTCGATTGGGTGGCTCCGTGCGTTCGGTCGATGGGGGTTGTTCTTGTTGGGAGTGATCGGTGGTGTCAGAGCAACGATTGATCTCCGGATTTCATGGTGAATGCATAACCAGTCAAGTTTTCCCTGGCAAGCTTGCCAGGAGACTATAAGCACTTTGGTAGAGATACAGGCACGAGCGAAAGCGTAGTTTGGGCATCATAACCTCTCAGGTACCTATCAATCAGTGTAATGGCATGCTTCTTAGAATAAGATAAGTGAGAGCTACTGGAATGTACTTGAGGACTATGGTCTGTGCTGTGTCCGTAATTCAGTTGACAAGAGCTGACAGGAAATTCGTTGGGATGCGTTGCCCTGATGCCCCCTTGGGGTTGCTTTCTAGGAATGAGGAAAGACTACTTTGCTAGGTACGGTATCTATCCTATCATCATCCTGGCATAGCTAGACCTTGCTAATAGTACCTTGTACCATACCAGCAACAGATAGATCATTGTTCCAGAGTACTACCCCCAAGGGCTGTGCACCTGGGCAGCCCAGCTTTCTAACTCTTCTATTAGCGAGCTAGCCGGTGAGCAGACTTGACTGTGGGAAATACCCAGGCCTCGGCTCGCGGGTCGTCCTCAATAACATCTCGTCTGAATCCGTTATTAGACGTTCAGTTCTTTTATTTTATTAGCGAGCTAGCTATCCATATATATGCCAATAAGCTACTGCTGTGATTGCATTTGCTATCACCATTCAATCATTCCTTACTTCCTCACATTTCATTAAATTGCTTCTTTACCATACAATGGTGGCAACCAATGACCCAAGAATGGCAATCGTCGACCTTACATGGGTGGTCGAAGCAGCAGCAGAAGCAGCTGTTGGCGCTGGGGATGCTGCTGTTTCAGTGGCTGGGGCTACAGTAGGAGATGAAGTGGGAGGAGTCCCCTCTTTACAGGGTAGGGTCTCGCCGGCTGCATTGGTTTCTTGGCATTCGCACCTGGGATCACAACTCAAGTAGCAGATTCCATCAACAGGGCTGCAATCTTGGAAATCTCTAGCATATGAATAGTCGCCACTCACAGTGGCAACAGAGGTAAACTGGGAATTGCCGGGGCTTGTGCAGGTGGCATATTGGTCAGTGCACCGCACAGCCAGACGACCCGGACTTTGAACCGAGCTCTCGTACGTGACAAATTCGTCAGGGGTCGCAATGTCAGCATCGGGAAAACTTTCAGTGATGGCACAGGGAACTGCATTAGGACTATCGGGGGATAGACCTCCACTGTTGAATGATGTCGAGTTGTCGCTGCCGATGACCAGGACATTTGTAGGATCCGTGACACAGACACATGCTTCATCGCAGGTAGAATAGCAAGCGCCCGAATTGCAGAATCCGCCCAAATCTCCACCGTCTTCTGCAAAATAATATCCAGTTGATGGGGAAAACCTACTTTCGTCTTCTTCCACCGTGGGCTCCAGTGCGAATAAGCCGAAGGTGCTGTTCTCGTCGATCAAACAGTAGGCACCCTTGGAGCATTCAATGTAGAACTGGCCGATGGAGACATCGAACTCGACCATTTGAGCCGAGGACACAGATGCTGCGATAAGCACCCAGGCAGCGATGATATTGTTATAGAACATAGTGTTTAATACTTTTGGTGAATGTTTCTTTCTCTTTGGGATGATGTTGTTTTTTGTGAGCTTTTGTTTCGTCGTGAGCAGTGCGGTCTTGCAAAGCTCAAGGGGTCTCAAATATTGTTTCAAACGCCGCGTACCAGGTACCAGGTACTAGTACTAGTTTTCTCTAGAGTCCGTCTCGGCTCGACTCACTCCTGTGCGCTCCTGTGACATCGCGTGCGATTGTGCTTTGTTTAGATCTGGTCGTGCGCCATCTTTGTTTTTAGCTAACGAACGATGTCAAAGGCTTGCTTCGGACTCGCTATCCCGTTTCGAGAAACATCGGCTGCTTGACAGATTGCTAGGACAAGTTAAATGCCAGGCAGTTCAGTTCTTCACACACACCGGAACAAGCAATCTAGCTAGAAGAAGCAGTATGTTCGAGCGATGGAGGAAATCGTTCGAAATAGCTACAGGAGCATTTGAACCGACTGGTGATTGGACAGGTCAGAGGATCGCCCGATTGCCATTGTTTGCCATTCGCAACGGTACAGTAAAAGGTACGTGGTAGGTCAATCATATGGGCTTCCATCGAGGCTAAAATGAATGGATTACTTAAGTTGTGTCTCTGTACGGCAGCCAGTGGACGTGTCCATGTATTCAATGCCCTTGTATGTTGCCACCATGGCTGAGAGCCGACTTGAATTTCCTTTTAGCTCGTTGCCCTGTCGACCCCTCGGTTTTGAGTTCTATGAACGAGGAAGGAATAATTTGCTAGCTAGGTAGGGTACATGTATCTGTTCTATCATCATCCTGGCGTTGCTGCTAGAACTTCATAATATCATACTAGTAATAGCACGGTACTGGTACTGGGCACCTCGGCAGCCCAGCTTATATCACTCTTATACTACCAGCTAGCTAGCTATCTACCGTTGTCCATATGCCAACGAGGTGGTAGCAACGTAGCAACTGCTGTGATTGCATTTGCTATCACCATTTTTTTTTGAATGATCCGATTTACCGATCCAATTCTCCACCTTCCATTCACTTGCAGTCCAGAACTGCTGGGTGCGCTGTTTGTTGTTGCGTGGGAAATCAGTCGAGCTTTCCCACGAGCAGAGCCCAAATTTTCATTGGATGGCAATCTTAGCGGGAGGAGACGCAAGCCAAGCATTGGTTGCCTATTTACGCGAAACTTACGCGACTAAATTCTTCATTTGCCTCCGAGAGGCACCGGCTGGTGGACGATATGAACAGAAGAGTGAGAAGAAAAGACTGTCATCTCTCTCGATGATTGTGAATTATTGAATGATCGAAGCACACCGGACTATTTTTGCTCGGTGTTGTTGAGTGATTGGTTCTGTCTATCTAGCTAGCTGATGCTAATACGATAGCAGCAGAGAGCAGTCAAGATCAGAAACAAGATGCAGGAATACCGTCAGTCAAGGAGTCGATCTGCGGAGGGTTCTGTAGGAGGAGTGCCTGCTTGGCTGTTGGAAGAACAGGGGTATGCTACCCCCACTCCCAGTGGCGGCAACAGAAGTCGAAAAAGTGACAACGAGAGATCATCCGGTGGAGGTAGCAATCATATCTCTGACGACCATGAAGGGGTACGCGGATCCCCAGATACCCGTCGCAAGCATTATCGAGGTGCTCGACAGCAGCAGCGTGATCAGAGGTACACCACCACCACAGAAAGCAACAATTATGAAGGTCAATTGCCAGGGTTGCCTACCGTCAATGGCATTCCACTGGAGCTGCGAAACAGACCTCAGCACCAGATGATTGACAGCATGCAGCGTATGCGAGAATCGGAACCAGTTTATATGGATATTGATCCCAATATTCCACCCAATACTAGTACCGGTATGGCAATGGCACACATGCAGATGGCACACTTGCAAAGAACCACCAAAGCGTCAGCTTCATCGCCATCCAGGGCGCTTCAGCAGTACCATCAGCAGTCTCCGGTGTTTGTAGGAACACCGTCCACAGCTGCCACATCTTACACAACAAATAATAGTGCCGGTGGGGCTTCCACGAGTAGGTCTCCTGCAAGAATAAACAGTCGCAATTCCAGCACTGGCAGTCCGAGTTCTTCCAGGGGCTCGAATGCTTCAGGGATTTCCCCTGCTCGGTCTTCCAACCGGTCGACACCCTCCCCCACCAATCCAAATAATTATGTCGCGAGGAACATGCCCACAGTGTCACCTGCCCGAACCACCGTCACCACAACCGTCACTACTTCTCAAAGCACCAAATACCCTTACGTCCATCCCTATGTGAGCAACGGGGATTACCGTGGCCAAGGTGCCAGGTATCACAACCAATCCGATCCCCGTGCCGTTGCTGCTATGATCCATACCACACACATCAACAACAACAAACACTCTGCTAGGAAGTCTCTTTACGATGAACGACCCATTGGACCCAGAGACCAAGAAGAGCAACATCATGGTGATCAGCTGATCATGTTTGGAGATGACTATGATTTGGGCTCTATCAATACCGGGATGAGTCAACAAGAATTGCTGCAAAAGCGTAGAGATGTCAAGAAACGACGAGAGGGGAAATATGGCAAGAAAAAGAAGAGCAAAGAACGTATCATCAACATGCCACCGAGACTCCTGTCCATGGGATCATGGGATACTTCACCTATTACCAAGCTGACATCCAAAGACAATTCTCATCACGCGTTTTACAAGGATGGCAAAGAACAGGTACGAACACTACAACTAATGGGCCGAATAGTCAGAAAGTCTTGGTCCGATGTGCCCTCACCTCCTAGCATGTTTTTGTTGTTGTTGCAGAAAAAGTGGAATGTATTGAGAGCCTTTCCTTCGCAGGATGAAGGGTCCACAGATGCTAGCACTCGAGAGAGTGGTGATGACCCTGCGCATCACCGACCCCCAAATGAACAACCACATCATCATGATAATTCATCCTTGAACTCTTTCCCGCTCTTGTCCACCAATGCAAAAGAAGGTCTCGACCCAGTCGCAAACAGAAACGTAGAGTCTCCGCGGGATGCCGCAGTGCTGTACGCCCAGCCAGGAAATATTCCACAACTGCAAGTGGATCACCTCTACGAACGTGAGCAACGAAAGCTGCACGAACACCAACAGATTCAGCAGTCGTATCAGCCGACTACAATACAGCAGCTAAGAGACAGGTCGAATCAGGATCAACAACACATGGAGGCACATCATCGCCAGCATGGGGAAGAATTGGAGCAGTTGGAGAGCCATTTGCGATACCTACAAGATCAGCATCAACTTCTTGAGCAAGAGGTGCAAGAGCGCCATGTAAACGCACAGGCGGCAAGGGATGCACACCCACGACCACGCGTTCGTTTCTCAGCCACTCTGACACAAGACTTGGAAGAAAAGCATTACGAAATTTCATCCAAAGACTCGCCGACCTCGGTAACAGATCTCGGGCATTACACAGAGTATCATCATCAGCACCAAGATACCAGTAATAGCTCGTCTTCAGTCCTTGCGCCCAAAACTCTGTTTCCGGGAAAGCCGGTGTCCATTTTGAGACGAAAGAGAAAGGAGGCGCTTGATTCCACAGGGCGCTATCCGGGCGCATCGTCTCGTGGACGGTCCCATCAGCAACCGGTGTTCAGCGATAGCGATGGCAGAGAACTATCTCCGATTCGCTCTCCAGCCGGCATGCGAGGGCAGACATTAGCTGCGCACCACTATCATCCAGACGACGTTAGTTCGCTGCCTGAGAATCTCGAGGAAAAGGATGTCGCTGTCGTGTTTGACCCGGATCAAGAGATTGACGACTTGGAATTGATGAGGCGGGAGGTACGTTTATAGTTTTCGTGTATTACATCCCATACCATTCACGGCAATTGACATGAATCATGAATTCCACCTTTGTCAAAACAGTTTGACGAAGAGTCAAGCCTGATTTCGGAAGCCTTCATCGAGGCTGTTGCTGCGATTGTTCTACAAACTGCCATGCGCCGGTTCATAGCAATTTGCAGGGCACAGAGACTCCGGATGGAGATGGGTCGCCCAACAAAACACAAAAGAGGGCTCAACCAGTCTCATTCGACGTCTTCGAGCGAGATGAATTCAAGACAGACAGGAGTTTCAACCTTGACGACTTCAAACCAAACCCAATCGAGCCAAGAAGATTTATTCTACGATTTGGCTGCGATCCAGATCCAGTCAGTTTTCCGCGGTTGGTGGGTGAGGGACTCTATCAACGTTGACCACTAGTACGTTCTTATGAATTGAAAGGGTTCTACTTCTGTAATTCAAGGAGCCTGTTCACTCATGCAATTGTCTTTTGGAATTCTTTGTCTACAGCTGTTCGACCCTGATTCAGAAGGCTTTTCGAGGATTTCGAGATCGCATTTCATTCGACTACGACGTGTACAGAGTCATTCTTGTGCAATCCATTTGGAGGAGAAACATTGCCATACGCAAGACTTATCGGCATTTCTCGTTGATCATCAAGCTGCAAGCCATCTGTCGAGGAATTCTTGTTCGAAAGGCTGTCAGTGGCATGTTGACCCTCTCCAGAAGAGGAAAAGCTCGTCGAAACTCCTCTCGAAAATCTAACGAGAGAAGACGTTCAAGCGACAAGCCTTCCCACACTCGGGCTTCTTACGAAAAAGCCAAGGCGCAAAAGAAGCCGCCACCTTACCTTAACAGAGCCCAGACTCGTCCTTTCGGGCCCTCATGCATGGAAGAAGCCAGAATCTGGCACGTGGGAGCAATTATCATCCAGACTTACTGGCGCAGTTACGTTGGCAGAATCTGCTACTTCCAGTCGCTAGCTGATGTCGTGCTGGTTCAATCTGTTATTCGACGATGGCTCACTAGGCGCAGATTCGCTGGTGCAATTCGCCAGAGGGGGGCATATCAGAGTTGGCCCACAAGAAACCAACCTCAGCAAGTGCAGTCGAAACCATCGTCCGGAAGTGCCGTGTCTTCACGCTTTGTCAAGTTCGAGAGCTTTGACTCCAGGAACGTCTCTTCACTAGGAGCCGACGAAAGCGTACCTTTCCGCAATATGTCGGAGGAAGACGCTGATCAATTTCCCAGCCCGATACCCACGAGACTGCCCAATCAACCGCATCAACATCAAAGTCAGCAGCACAGGCAAGTCGAGATGGATGGGTACGACTCTTCTCAGCACTACGGCCGTGGCTACTTTGAAGATGCGTCACGATTTGGTGGACGTAATGTTTGGAGCAAGAGTGGCGGTCCGCCAACAAACGAAGCTGACTTTGGTGACAGATATTCGCCTTGTCACGGCCAGGAAGGAGCAAGCAAGCCGGATGGGCCGATCACTTATGGGGCAATGATCAAAGACCGACAAAGCGGGAGTCCTCAAGCACCCAGCCAAGTTCCAATCCAACAACAAAGGAGCCCGGTCTCAAGGAGTAAGGGTTGGAACGCCGAAGAAGACATCGACAAGGAGTCAACTCGCAATCTGCTGCAGGCTTGGAAGAAGAAGGACAAGGCCAACTCGTTTACGATTCGACCGCGCTCTGGAAGGTAGCCACCAATTGGTTGCACAGCCGGAGCTAATTACTGGGGAAAGCGCCGCTCCTCAGTAAAGGAATTGAACATAGAGATAAAAGAAATAGATCACGCTACTTTGAAGTACCGGTATCATGTATACGAGTAGTCGAGCATCGCAAGTATTAGCTTAGTCTACTCTTCGAATTATCAGTTGGCGTCAAATGAATGACTTTGAAATGAGTGCAAATTGCCTTCATGTCGTAGCTCCTCTTTGATTGTTGTTGCTTGTTCTGCCAATCTCTTGCCTTCGTCGCCGCCATGTTGGTTACAGAATGTGATAACTGTGTTTATGCCGGCTTCAGAAGGAAGATCATATGACCTTGTTTCACGGAATTCTTCTACAAAATGTTGCAGCATCTTCACCGAGCTTTGCAACGACGCCAGGTCTTCGCAACGTGCCAAAGCTTGAAGACACTTGTCGTAGCATCTGTAGTTGGGCAAGAGCTTCTTGTGATCACGGCTCTTAGCATGCATTTGACTCAAATTCCCCAAAAGATCATATGCTCGATCCGCCGCCCATCTTTCCTTCACATTGGCAAGGTAGCTCATCATTGCTAGGAATGCAGTAGTGTCGAGTTTAATTTTTTTGTCATGATGCAACTTCCACATGTGTTCAAAAATCAGAAGCGCTTTCTGTGTGCGAGCTTTGTTAGGCCGCTTGGACAAAGCTCTAATGGTGGCGGTATATGATGCAACGTTCGGCCTTGCACTTTGCTTCACGTTCCTCTCCATCCCTTCAAGGAGACTAAATGCTCGATCTGCAGCGTCACCAGTCCCCACTTTCGCCAAGGCAAACAGGGTTCGATTGTATAGCTTCAAAGGATCAGCGGGCCATTTCATAATGCCCCGGTGAATCACTTGCGTTTGAAACTTTTCCAACACGATCGCTGCTGCAAACGCTTTTTCTTGCTTCTCTGCAGTGGTGTCGTCTGTAGTATCTCTCAGCAACCTTTCGAGGAATAGAAGGTAACTGGCATGGTTCACACAAGGCACAACCTCCATCCGATTGAGCAAATCAAGGGCCTTACTGACACTTGTCTCGCCCCAAGCGCCAATACACATGTTGACAGTTCGTGGTTTTGGCACCAACGTTGCATCATTGTGTCGTTGTGCCAATTCAATGGATTTATTCAGGAGAGCCTCCATTCGTGGGGCGCGATTTGGTTTCCCCGTTCGGTGGTACCACGTTCGAATGGCACAATCAAATGTTGCTGCATTGGGGGGTACTGTGCGACTGCCGTGCCTTCGATGCTGTTCCAGCATGCTAAACACCTTGGCTTCTACCATTTCCGGAGCATCTTCCCGTCCACTTCTGGCAATGGCTTCGATACACGCTGTGTGCGTAATGACATCTGGTTCTGTAAGAACATGGTCCGTCTCTTGGGAAAGGGCTTTCATGTCCATGAGCAGAGCAGTGGCTCGTTCTGGCGCGTCACTCTCTTCAGACTTGGCCCATCCACTAATGACGATATTGAAGCAAGTTGTCAAGTTGAATTGTCTGTCCAGCAGAAAACGCTTCACAGTGTCATCGTCGAGAAAGAAGGCCAATGCCATCTTCAACACTCCCTCTGCTTCGTCCGGTCGGTTTCTCTGACAAAAGGCGTCAATGACATGTCCAAAGCTGATTTCATCCGGTGCTACCGTTTCGTGATGTCCATTGCGAAATAGTTTCATCATCAAGTTGAGAACTTCCAAGGCTCTGTCAGCCCCCTTGTCTTCGGGGCACATTTTCCATGCCTTCAAGACGTGATTGAAACAGTGGGTATCGACACTGGGTCCACCTTCGGTGTTGAGTTTGGATAGATAATGGAGCCAATCTTCGGCAGCCCCGGCCGCACCGTACACTTCGTGTGCTTGATTGGCTTGAGTCAGAATGACGGTGGAGTAGGACTGTGTGACGGGATGAATGTCACCCTCTGGATGGTCGGAACTGTGCTGTTCCATTTCTTTAATGAGCTTTTCCGCCGTCAGTGCCGCTTCTGGATGCCCCATGGCAGCACTACGAGCGCATGCGTTCAATACGGAATGATAACTGACAGTATTGGGACTTGGACAGCATGTCGGATGTTGCTGATGTCTCTGATGCATGGCTTCTAGCAGCTTGAGGGCTTTTCCGCAACCTTTCCGACCACAACGGGACCACGCATCCAGAACATTGTTGTATATGGAAATATTCACCAGCTGACGGCCCGTCCGAATCGATTCTTCAATGAGATCATCCAATAATGCGTTGGATTTATAGGCGCCATCAAAACTGTTCATTCTGCTGTGGTTGAGTATGCGTCCCCGTATTTCCCGAATGGCCGTATTGTTCAGAGTGTCTCGAGGAGAGCTGGTTGTTGTGGATTCTTCCCAGTTGTCCATAGTGCTGCTGATCTCGCGGCCTTCCAATGATACCTCATCCTCGTCATCATTTGCCCTGCTTGTTTCCGTCGACAATAGCCGAAGTGAACTGTGATGATGATCAGATATGATGGTGGATATTATTGGAACGCAATATCGACACGCATTGCTGGAAACAGCTCCAAATTGATGAAATCTCTGTCTGTTGCTCAGATTGGAAAAGGTTTGCCATCGTCCGAAAGACCTACGAGAACGGATTGCAGAACCAGAAATCCTTGTCAGACTGGAAGCCATGCTGAAATACTATCTACTAAGTAGCTATAGAGGCGGCTTTCTCGAAATCAGTTCCAATCAACATCAACTAACTTATTTGCATGGCTGTTGTTGTTATGGTCGGCATATGTTGGCATTTCCTTGGTGGGAGCTAACCTTAGCCCTTGCTCTGATGCAATCAAGGACGCGCGGGAACACAAGAAAACAGGGAACACGTACCGTATGCATATAAACACAAGAAAACAGGGAACACGTACCATATGCATATAAACAATTTTTGAATAGAATCAATTTGGCTGACCACTTGTCTACTGTGCTGCTACCGGGTGCCCTAAACTGATAACATGGGGCAGAGAGATTTGACCCCACCAGCCAGGGAAATATTAATAAAATTCAACATATGAAGTTAAGGGACATGTGTCGCCTCGTGATTGACCCATCCTCGTTGCTGCCATCATCAGCACTGCTACTAGCTCTGCTACAACCATTGTCTATTTTAACAGTGCCCGAATCCAAAACAATGTCAGACTCAAATGCAATTCCTATAAACTAAAGTATGACTTCAGAAAACAGCTGCAAGTTATCTGTTTTTAACAATGATTCAGTAATTATTGACAATAAAACTAATTAAACTAGTAAAAGTAACAAAATATATAAATATATAAAATAAATAGATTATAACAATACAACTAATTTATGTATATTAAAATATTTTCTGTTATATACACAGTTTTTCTACAAACTAATATTATTCAGAAATATTAAAATAAATCTAAAATAAAAAGATAAATCTTGAATTTTGCTCAATTTTTAAAATTCTTAATTGAGAAAACAAAAACAATTTAATGATCTATTAAAATCATTCATGTCCCAGTGGGTATACCCCAAGGGGACCCCAATACCCACTGCTAAGTTGTCTAATTAAATTAATGAAATACTCATTGTGAGTATTCTTTTAAACGTTATGCAAAAACGTCGTGCAAAAAAGTCGTGAAAAATGTAATGTCGTGTAAAAAGAATGTCGCGTAAAATGTCGCGTAAAATGCATGCAAAAATTCGTGCAAAAAGTCGTGCAAAAATGAATGTCGTGTAAAAAAGAATGTCGAGTCAAAATGTCGCGTAAAAAGTCGCAAAAATGTCGTGAAAAAAAGAATGTCGTGTCAAAATGTCGCGTCAAAATGCATGCAAAAATATCGTGCAAAAAAGTCGTGCAAAAATTACGTGCAAAAATGTCTGCAAAATGTCTGTAAAATTCGTGCAAAATGTCGTGCAAAATTTCGTGCAAAATTTCGTGCAAAATTTCGTGCAAAATTTCGCGTAATATTGCTAATTAGCCACACAGGTAACTTTATCACGAATGTAATTTTATGTCATTTGGAATTCAAAGTTATCTTAAATTTGCGTAATATAGTTGTATTGTATGTCATGCAGCTCATTAACGCATAATACAGGTAGCTAAATTCTTATGTATGAGAGCTATATTCTCGCGTGTTTGAGCAAATTTCGGCGTTTGAGTTAGATTCTCGGTGTTTGAGCTAGATTCTCGCGTTTGAGTAGATTTCGCGTGTTTGAGTTAGATTCTTGCTTGTTACAGCTCGATCTTATTTTTTGAAATACATATCGCATATTTCAACTTTGATTTAAGCAAAACTTCTATTCAGCGAGATCTCTTTTGGCACACACGTAAAGAAATATATTCTCGTCGGTATTTTTGCTTTATTGTTTGTGAAATACATTGGTTTTCATATCACACTTGTGCAAAGCAAGAGCTATATTCTTCATATTTTAGATTTCTCGTATTATCTCTCTCCCCC